CACACCAATGCTCCCAGAGCTCCCCAGAAATACACACCAATACTCCCAGAGATCCCCATAAATAAACACCAATACTCCCAGAGCTCCACCATAAATACACACCAATACTCCCAGAGCTCCCCAGAAATACACACCAATGCTCCCAGAGCTCCCCAGAAATACACACCAATGCTCCCAGAGCTCCCCAGAAATACACACCAATGCTCCCAGAGCTCCCCAAACCTGCACACTGTAAAGGCCACCCAGGTTGTCAGAGGGGTGTTAGCAGAACTGAAGGTTTAATAGTTTACAGTCACACAGTTAAACTAAGCTATCTGGGGATATGTTGATTTGCAGGGAATAGAGAGCATTACTATAAATTCCTCCCCTCTGCTTGGGAGATAATTGAGTTTGTGGCGAAACCAACCTCACCACTATGTTCTGGAGAAGCCTGGTTGCCCGCCTGCTACCTCTGGACTATGGCCCCGTATAAAAAACCTTTTATGTCTCCCGCAAAAAGGCTTGTTCGTGCCTTTCTGCCAGGGTGTTAGGTAAATTCAATTTACCGCACAAACGCACGAATGACCGGACCACCTGGGTATGGAGTGTGCAGGCAATTGATCTCCCAGAAGCTGCAGTTAACCGCAGCTTAATTGACGAACACTGGGTGGCCATTGTTCATATAGCCGAACACGTGGCAGCGGCCATCTTAAACTGCCGAACGGCCAGCGGTGTTCAGCTACAAAACTGTGGAACTAAAAACGGACACTTATATTCACGAACACCGCTGAGCCACCGACCTCCCTCCTCCTGCATTTATCCGAACGCTGGTCCATTCAGTACTTTCTCTGTGTGAACAGTACTACCCCAGATAGCTATGCCATGGAGCCCATTCGTGTAACGAAAGACTATGTGAAAGACTTTGGCTCCATGGCGATTGAACTGTGTGTATAGGATCTGAGCGCCATTCGGTGATAATGTGCGCTCAGATCTAAGCTATCTGGGGATATGTTGAACGTATATGTTTTATGCAGTATTTGTAACATTGTGTATTTTCAGGTCTTTTTGCTAACATGTGTGTAATGGAGTTTTGCCCCTATCCTTGGAGATAATTGGATTACTTCCCAATTATCTCCAGGATAGAGAGGAAGGATTATACTGTACTAGTGGGAGTGTTTCACTATGTATGTCTGTGATTGGTCACTGTGCAATTTGTGTCCCAGTCTTCCACCAGGTCCCCTAGGGGAGTGTCCACCTGGTGGAAGACCTGCATAAATACCGGGCAGGTAGCCCCATTAAACCAGATCACTGCTTGACCCTCAACACGGAGACTTCTCTCATTCTTGGGGGAATTTATTGTATGCTGTTCCAGTTCGACTGCTAGGAGTGTAAACCATTCGTATGGTTTTTCCTGTTCGGCTGTTTGAAGCATTCGTATGGTTCCGGTTTGGGAGTTTGGAGAATTCGTATGGTTTCATATTCGGGAGACTGGTGTATGGAGTAGCTGCCTGTGTATCTGGAAGGGAATATATCCTAAATGGCTTTTAACCCCTTTTATGCCTGGGGGTGCCATTACAATTGGTGGCAGCCGTGGGATGGTTCTCACAGCCCAGAAGGACAGCTACAAGGAAGCACCATTTACTGGATTTACAAATTGAGGGCAACACATGTCTGAGTACAGCGACTCTGACAGCAGCAGGATGGAACCAGCCGTTTTATACGAGGAGGAGGACCTGGATGCCCGGGATGCATTAAGGAAAGAGACCTGGTACCAGGCCCTGGATAATGTACAGTACCAGCGGGGCGAGAGTCTCCCCAGTGAAGAGCAGCGATTGCAGATGTGACTTGCACTGCGGATGCCCTTCCTGGGAGAGCAGCCCCTGGAGCAATGGGTAAAGGAGCTCGAGCACCGGGAATGGCAGGAGCTATGGCTAGATGATGCCTACCAGGCACTCTGGTGAAGTACGGTTCGGTATACAACCTGGACAGTGGAGCATGATAACCCAGAGGGAGAGGAGTTTAATGGCCCTGGCTTGCTATGGGAGGCGTTCACAGAACCTGACTTTGGGAGCCCTGAAGAGACCCAGTTTGATGATCTTTTTGACTGGAGGGAGGGTATGCAAGACTGGGATGGCCCCCACGAAGTGGGACCAGACTTGGTACACCTTGCAACCCTGGAGTGGGAACTGGAGCAGGATTACAAACATCTGTTCTGCTCCATCGAGGATACCCAGCAGGAGAGCATCATGGCAGACCCAGATCCAGAGCCCTTCAGCTGGGAGGATATTGTCGAGGTGTACTGGGAGGACCTCCAGTCGGCCAGTAGAGATGGGACAGAGTTCTCTCCACTGGCCCCACAGCGAGAGCAGAGCAGCGTCCTCCCTCCCCAGCGGCAGGTTGAGCTACAGGGATGCTGGGCGGTCGGCCCAGATCCCCAGCGGCAGCTTGATTTGCAGGGAATAGAGAGCAGCATCTACTGTGAAGTGCAGGGAATAGAGAGTATTGTCTCCTTTACCCAGCGGCAGTGTGAAGTGCAGGGAGTGGAGAGCATTGTCTCCTCTCCCCAGCGGCAGTATCCCTTGCAGGGAGAGGAGAGCCCTGTCTCCCTCCCCCAGCGGCAGAATGTCCTACAGGGAGCAGAAACAGTCGGTCTCTCTCCCCAGCAGCAGGACAATTTATTGGGAGTGGAGGCAGTCAGTCTTCCTCTCCAGGGGCTGAAAATGTGTAAGGGAGAGGAGCCTGTTATCCTCTCTCCCCAGCGGCAGCTTAGCCCACAAAGGGGAGACAATCAGCTCCCCACCGATGCAGATGCGACCGTGGTCTCTGTGCCCGAACTACAGGGAGTGTGGACAGTCGGTCCTGCTCCCCAGCGGCAGATTCTTATACTGGGAGAGGAGAGCCTCGTCCTCCCTCCCCAGCGGCAGACTAGCCCACCAAGGGGAGACAATAAGCTCCCCACTGGCGCAGATGGGACCACACTACAGGGAGTAGGGACAGCCTGTCCAGACTCCCAGCAACAGGACCGTTTATCAGAAGGGGAGACAGTCGGTCTCCCCCTCCAGCAGCTGCACCGGTTCCAAGGAGAGGAGCCTACCACCCCCTCTTCCCAGATAAGCGCCAACCAGGCTACTCCAGCTGAAGCGCTGGCACCGGGGCAGAGTACCGCTGGTCTCTGCTCACTCAGCAACCCACAGACCCGGACTAACAGTACCCGACACAGCTGTGGTGAAGCCCTTGGACAACGACCAGCTACACGTTTTCCCAGGTGCAGTAACTATTCATTGTGGGTGAGCTGCACTACTGACTATGTTTTGTGGGTGGGTTGCTGGACTAACCAAGGCACTGACCGACAGGAGGTCAGATACCTTGTTAGTCTTTTTGGGAAAGGGGAGAGATGTGGCGAAACCAACATCACCACTATGTTCTGGAGAAGCCTGGTTGCCCGCCTGCTACCTCTGGGCTATGGCCCCAAATTAAAAACCTTTATTTCTCCCTGCAAAAAGGCTTGTTCGTGCCTTTCTGCTAGGGTGTTCGGTAAATTCAATTTACCGAACAAACGCACGAATGACCGGACCACCTGGGTATGGAGTGTGCAGGCAATTGATCTCCCAGAAGCTGCAGTTAACCACAGTTTAATTGATGAACGCTGGGTGACCGTTGTTCATATAGCCGAACACGTGTCAGCGTATAAGGGTGTGCACCCTAAAGCAGAAACACACACGCCGCGTATATATATACACATATACACATATATACACATACATACACACACACACTGCTGTGTGTGTGAGGGTGCTGTGTGTATGTGTAATCGGGTCCTAACACTGACCCTTCAGCCTTGAGCTTCTGGCAAAAGATATCTCTAATGAGACAGAGAGGGGTATTTTTTATATACACCCCTATATACTTATTAACCCTTAATAGGGAACACATGGGATGGGCGGCAGCATTGTAACAAGGCTGTGTGATACAAAGTAAATACAAATACAAAAAGACGCAACTCTGATAGACCTCTTCCAAGATGACGTCACATCCGGCAGACATACGTGTGGTTGATCTGAATACCACACCCCACTTGCCAAAACAGACCGCCTCCAAATCGGGAGATTGATACATATAGCCAATATATAAAAGGTGTATGTAAACAGAATGGAGATATAATCAATACATATTGCAATAGGTGTAAGAAGATAATAAACAGTTAATAAACTGGCTGCTAACACACAGTCAGTTCCCAACCTCGAAACGTTACAGGAATGTCTTCAAGACTAACTCAGTGATAACAAAGTAACAATGTGTTTTGTAAAACTATTAAATTGGATTAAAGGGGGTTGGCCGACTGTCCGTATAGGATTCGTAAATATGAATGCACACTAGGCAGGATCCAGTGTATTCATGAGTCACTGTACAGTAAGTAGCAAAGTAGGACGTAACCCTTGCTTCGGAAATTACTTTCCCATGGCCAGTTTGGATTTGCAGAGTCTCCAGGGATCCGTTCCCTGATAAGATTTTACATTATTTCCCACTATAATTATTTCTCATCCCTCTGGAATGCATGAAGAGGAGAGTGACGGGCTGTGTACATTCCTAGCCTGGGTTGTGGTTTGGGGATCACAGATAATGTCGCTGCACCTGTTCAGTAAAACCAGGTTCTATACAACCTCCGTGACACAGCAGGTAACGCTGTGTGGTCAGTTATATTCTGATATTGTAAAATATAATAAAATGGTATGCTTAGCATTACTTCAATATGATATAAATGTATATCTCAGTAGTATGACATACCTTATACATAATTCCAGTAAGATTTTATACAATAACATATTTTGAATGAACATGTAAGATATCCTACAAACAATATGGCTAGGGGAATGTCAAACTTACTTTGCTGCAATTTCCTCCACAGTAATTTAGGAGGCAAAGAATCTGCGACGTGGATAGGATGAAGTCCTGCTCGTGTACGGCGGTCCATGTGGGTACGGCGATCGAGTTGGGTACGACGGTCCAGATGGGTACGGCAATCAAAGTGGGTACAGCAAATCAGGTAGGTACGACGATCCAGGTGGGTACTGCGATCGAGTTGGGTACGGCGATCCCAGTGGGTACGGCGATCCAGGTGGGTACGGCGATCGAGTTGAGTATGGCAATCCAGGTGGGTACGACGGTCCAGGTGAGTACAGCAATCCAGGTGGGTACGACGGTCCAGGTGGGTATGGCGATCGAGCTGGGTACGGCGATTGAGTTGGGTAGGCAATCGAGGTGGTTACGGCGGTCCAGGTGGGTATGGCAGTCCAGGTGGGTACGGCGATCCAGGTGGGTACGGCAGTCCAGGTGGGTATGGCGGTCCAGGTGGGTACGGCGGTCCAGGTGGGTATGGCGGTCCAGGTGGGTACGGCAATCAAGTTGGGTACGGTGATCCAGACGTGCACGGCGATCGAGTTGGGTACGACGGTCCAGGTGACTACGGCGATCCAGATGGGTACGACGATCCAGATGAGTACAGCGATCGAGTTGGGTACGGCGATCCAGGTGGGTACGGCATTGAGTTGGGTACGGCGATCCAGGTGGGTACAGCAATTGAGTTGGGTACGGCGATCCAGCTGGGTACGGCGATTGAGTTGGGTACGGCGATCCAGGTGGGTCCAGCGATCCAGACATGTACGGTGGTCAAGGTGGGTCCAGACATGTAAGGAGGTCCAGGTGGGTACAGCGGTCCAGGTGGGTACGGCGATCAAGTTGGGTACGGTGATCCAGACGTGTACAGTGATCCAGTTGGGTATGGCGGTCCAGGTGGGTACAGCGGTCGAGTTGGGTACGGTGATCCAGACGTGTACGGCGATCGAGTTGGGTACGACGGTCCAGGTGACTACGGCGATCCAGATGAGTACGACGATCCAGATGGGTACGGCTATCGAGTTGGGTACAGCGATCCAGGTGGGTACGGCGATCCACGTGGGTACGGCGATCCAGACATGTACGGCGGTCCAGGTGGGTACGGCGATCCAGACATGTACAGCGGTCCAGGTGGGTATGGCAGTCCAGGTGGGTACAGCAATTGAGTTGGGTACGGCGATCCAGGTGGGTACGGCGATTGAGTTGGGTACGGCGATCCAGGTGGGTCCAGCGATCCAGACATGTACGACGGTCCAGGTGGGTCCAGACATGTAAGGCGGTCCAGGTGGGTACGGCGGTCCAGGTGGGTACAGCGATCAAGTTAGGTATGGTGATCCAGACGTGTACGATGATCCAGTTGGGTATGGCGGTCCAGGTGGGTACAGCGGTCGAGTTGGGTACCGTGGCATATCCTGCATTCGTACTTGGCACACAGTGTATTGTATAATGATAAGAATTTATAATAATCACTAGGACTGGGTGATATGAAAGTGAAAAACAGCACTCAGTTTTCACAGAACATTTTTTACATCTCTGGCCTTCGCTCTGGTTATGTGAATATTTACAACAGCAGCTGTTTGCAATATAAACTAATCGTTCTCTCTTTTCCTTATGATTTGAGAGAAACTTAACAGAACACTCCAAGCACCATAACCAGCACAGCCAGCTATAGTGGTTATAGTGCCAGGAGAGAGGAATGCTGTGGTACCCTGCCAGGGTCAGTCATCAAATCATTTGCAAATGGTTTGAAAACTCCCCTTGGGCCCGCTGAGTCCCAATCACAGCCTCTAGAAGAGCCTCCTGCACACAGATTTCCTGAGCTACACACTGCAGGACCAGCTCATTGGCTGAGCGTGCCAGACGATCACTCTATGCCAATTACCTACACCACGACCGGCTACCAGCAGTCCCTAGGTAACTACTTACTCTGGGAGGGCACTGGGGCTCTCCTAGCACCATAACCACTAAGCGTTCTGTAATAGCAATGATGCTTGACGTCTTCCTTTAATATTTGAGTATGAATTGAGAGCAGCATGGTGTTGGGCCAGTGTTTTTCACACTTATTGATGTACAGATTGCCGGTGGAGATTTGATGGTATTGACAGATATCATCTCATATTAGGTGATCGGGTCATATCGGTTCTTACGCCTTTTCTTTCTGTTCTGTTGCCAGTACAAGAGACTCCGCAGAGACGCAGCGCCAGGTGGCATTTTGTACATCTTATATGTTACAGTAAGACTCCTACACAATATTATTTACAAAGTCCTTTTAAGATCTCCTTCCCCAATCCAAGTCTTTATCCTGTGTCGCTCTAATTGACGTATGGAGAACATTAGAGGATAATACAGAAATAACCTTTTTATATATTCTCAGATATTTAGGTTGAAAAATGACCTCAGGCCATGAAGTTCAGCCTTTCTCTGTTTTTGCTGGCACCGTGATTTCCTCGTGGACAATTATTATATCCTAATACTTTCATTTTTTCCTTAATATAGGTTTAAGACTTTGCAGCTAACGCAATTAATCTCCTCCCCAACTCGCATAAACATTAAAAGCCATAACCATACCCTGCTCGACTGGATTCTCTCCACTTCTCCTGATAGAATCCAGGAGGCCGGTGTTCTCCCTATCAGTTTCAGTGATCACTGTTTAGTGTACTGCGTGCACAAAATAAAGGTTACTAAATCCTCTACCAAGGTTAAAATCACCAGGTCCTTCAAAAAATTTAATCTTGAATCCTTTCTTAATGACATCAAGAACCTCCCCTGGCACAGATTAAACATTATCCCAGATCTAGACTGTGCTGTTGAATTCTTTCAGTCTGAACTCCTACAAGTTTGGAATTTGCATGCCCCGCTGCGTAAGGTGAGAGTAAAAGGGGCACAGCTGACCTCATCCAAATGTACCAGTTTCAGGATTCTTTGTGGTCAAAGTTCAAGCGTACTGGCTCTATGAATGATCACGGTGCATATAGACAATGGCGAAATATATGCACAAAACAAACAAAATTGGGGAAGGCCCAATATTTCTGTGAAAATCTGAACAATAACCCTAGAAACGTTTGGAAAGTCATAAATAGATTACAAACTCCCCCAATCCACTCCCAACCCTCAACTGCCAAGGTGGATAACCAAACCCTGCAACTCCCCTTTGATGTAGCAAATGCCTTTAACAATTATTTTGTCAGATGCTCTACTGCCCTGATTGCCAAGCTAATAAATGATACGCATCCTGAAACTACAAATGTGGATCAGGTCCCACTAAATTTGCAAAGGCCCAATATAGACAAGTTCATTTTTAGACCTGTACCTGTTAGTGTCATTAAGAACACCTTAATAATCTAAAAATGAAAAACCAGTCTGGACCTGATCAAATCCCAGCAATGCTGTTGAAGCTCAGTGCGCCGGCAATTGATAAACCCGTCTCAACTCTAATTAACGAATCATTGGTGTCTGGATACATACCCAAACTTTGGAAGACTGCGAGAGTAGTGCCTATCCATAAAAGTGGTGACACTACTTTGGTTTCTAACTATCGCCCAATATCATTGCTCCCTGTATTGTCAAAAATCTTAGAAAAATGTGTCCATACGCAACTTTGTGAGTACTACCAACAATTAAACTATCTGACCCCTGATCAATCGGGCTTTCGCCAGAATCACTCCACTACAACTGCCCTCCTAAAAGTTTGCAATGACATCCAAACTGGCATGGAACAAGGAGCCCTAACTGGAGCTATTTTCCTTGATTTTGCTAAGGCCTTTGACACAGTAGACCACGACATTCTACTGCACAAACTCGAAAACTCAGGTATTGGTGATCATTCTTTAAACTGGTTTCGATCGTATGTATCGGATCGCTCGCAATATGTGTCCATATCTGACAGCGACTCCCTCCCTCTCCCAGTCACGTGTGGTGTTCCCCAGGGTTCCATTCTCGGCCCTCTACTATTTACATTATTTATAAATGATCTGCCTAATGTCTGCAAATCCTCAAATGTACACATGTACGCAGATGACACGGTAATCTGTGCAAGCAAATCCAATCTACCGCAGCTTGAGGCTGTGCTCCAAGACCAGTTTACAGAGGTAGAAAAGTGGATCGCAAAAAACAAACTCTTCCTAAACACTGACAAACCCTTCACAATGATCTTTGGAACAGTACCTAAATTACACAAATTACACAATTCCCACCTATCCATCAAAATAAATTCAAATGGCACACTGACCGCAGTCCACTCTTTCAAATACTTGGGTATGATGTTAGACCCCAATCTATCTTTTGGCCTCCACATATCTAAAACTTGCATCTAAACTTTATCTAAAACTAGGTGCCCTGTACAGAAACAAATCCTGCCTAAGACCTGCAGTAAAGGAAAAGATTGTACAGCAAATGCTGATGCCAATCATTGATTATGGGGATGTAGTATATGCGTCTGCAACGCAATCCCACATTAATAAACTCAACACATTGTATAACTCGTTCTGCCTCTTTGTGCTACAATGTAATTACAGGACCCACCATTGTGACATGCTAAAAGAACTAAACTGGCTGTCGCTGGAATCCAGACGCACCATTCATCTTTCCAGCCTTGTATTTAAGAGCTTTTCTGGGAAGCTCCCACCCTACCTGAACAAAATGCTTTCCCCGGCTGTTCCCACCTCATATAACCTCCGATCCAGTACCAGTACTTTATTTTGTCTACCTCAATACAAAAAGAAAGCGGCCCGATCCTATTTCTCCTACAGAGCGCCGCAATTATGGAACGACCTTCCGCACGATTTAAAATCTTCCCCAAGCCTAAAGTCCTTTAAGAGATCCCTCTCTACATACCTCAAAACAGAATGCACCTGTTATGGTTAATTATATATCCCTTACCTGTTCTATGTTAAATTTTGCATATATTGTGTATTAATATTGTTTTTGTATTTTATTGTACCCTAATGTATCAATGCAATGATTTGTGGATCCAGGACATACTTGAAAACAAGAGAAATCTCAATGTATCTTTCCTGGTAAAATATTTTATAAATAAATAAATACAAATGCAGATTTTTTTTAAAAAAAGTTTTTGACAAAATCTGATAAAACCAGTTTTAATGCAAAGAATTTTAGATTCCTAGACCACACCTTTGTCTATGGATTCATTGCTTCCCATTTATGTAGTTTGGGCACATTTCAAAACTAGACATCGACAGCGACTAATCTACATTCTGGCCACAAGTAATGAGTGAGCAGTTTGTCATTATCCATGGTTTTGCTGTTGTAGTTGCCGGTGTAAAGACATACCGATTCTAGTTCCAAATGTTGCTCTGGATTGTTGACAATCTTGCTCTGGATTGCTGGCGTCGGCTGCCTGCGTGAGATCTCGTGTCAAAGCCTGGGAATTTATTTTATTGTGTCGTCCGTAACATATCAGTTCTCTGAGGAGATAATATTTATCCTGAGAACTATTTCTAAAATGAGAAGTTTTTTTTTCATGGATTGCTATTTTATAACTTTTCTTTTAAATTATATTTTTCATTCGTGAAGGATTTGCTAAAATTTCAATATTGCCTTAAATCCAGGGTGGGAGATAATAAGGGTTTGGTGTAGTTATTTTAGCTTGGCATGAGAATAACTGTATTACTTACAATAACAAGATTTATTTTTACATATGATTTATATTTTACATACGATATGATTTATTTATACATTGGTGTTTGAAATGCTGAAGAATGTCTGATTTCAAAGTTAAGAGTCACAGTGATTTTTAAGTTGTTTCTGACTTTTGGCAGATATCATGTGACAGTTATCATATTGCGGTGTGCGTTTGTGTGTGTGCGTGTGTGTGCCTATGCGTGTGTTTTTTCTTAAAGGAACTTCTAGACAGAAATTTCATGTATTCTGTAACGTGTTTGTTCTGTTATCTATTTTGCTAGTTAAATTTCAGTTACAGAGACATCTTTTAAAGAAATATTCTGAGATATTGGTAATTTAGAACTGTATCAACACACACAGTCGTTAACTTGTGGATAAATATCAGATATGACGTTTACATTTCTATATTTCTTGGGTGAGTTGTCTCCCCCGTTTATTTTGTTTGTGTGTTTTTGATGAATTTTCATAGATTCACCTCTTTATTTTGTGCTTCTTATGTATTGCTATTTATTATTGCATGTCGGGACCAAACTCACTCACAGGGTTTTGCAGGTTCCATTGGGAGAGGTTTAGTAAACTAATTTATTGGATTTTGTAGGTTTCAATAGAAGAGGTTTAGTAAACTTATAGGAAGGGTTTTTGGAGGTTCCATTGGGAGAGGTTTAGGCCACAGGGAGAGTGCGCAGCTTAGCGGACAGGGGCACATGTATGAGTGTGGGATGGATGGTGCATGATTGGCTAAATGCTACATGTATGAGTGTGGGATGGATGGTGCATGATTGGCTATATTCTACATGTATGAGTGTGGGATGGATGATGCATGGTTGGCTATATTCTACATGTATGAGTGTGGGATGGATGATGCATGATTGGCTATAGTCTACATGTATGAGTGTGGGACGGATGATGCATGATTGGCTATATGCTACATGTATGAGTGTGGGATGGATGGTGCAGGATTGGCTATAGTCTACATGTATGAGTGTGGGATGGATGGTGCAGTATTGGCTATATTCTACATGTATGAGTGTGGGATGGATGGTGCATGATTGGCTGTATTCTACATGTATGAGTGTGGGATGGATGATGCATGATTGGCTATATTCTACATGTATGAGTGTGGGTTGGATGGTGCATGATTGGCTATATTCTACATGTATGAGTATGGGATGGATGGTGCATGATTGGCTATATGCTACATGTATGAGTGTGGGATGGATGGTGCATGATTGGCTATATGCTACATGTATGAGTGTGGGAGATGGTGCATGATTGGCTATATGCTACATGTATGAGTGTGGGATGGATGATGCATGATTGGCTATATGCTACATGTATGAGTGTGGGATGGATGGTGCATGATTGGCTATATGCTACATGTATGAGTGTGGGATGGATGGTGCATGATTGGCTATATTCTACATGTATGAGTGTGGGATGGATGATGCATGATTGGCTATATTCTACATGTATGAGTGTGGGATGGATGGTGCATGATTGGCTATATGCTACATGTATGAGTGTGGGATGGATGGTGCATGATTGGCTATATTCTACATGTATGAGTGTGGGATGGATGGTGCATGATTGGCTATATTCTACATGTATGAGTGTGGGATGGATGGTGCATGATTGGCTATATTCTACATGTATGAGTGTGGGATGGATGATGCATGATTGGCTGTATTCTACATGTATGAGTGTGGGATGGATGGTGCATGATTGGCTATATGCTACATGTATGAGTGTGGGATGGATGATGCATGATTGGCTATAGTCTACATGTATGAGTGTGGGATGGATGGTGCAGGATTGGCTATATTCTACATGTATGAGTGTGGGATGGATGGTGCATGATTGGCTATATTCTACATGTATGAGTGTGGGATGGATGGTGCATGATTGGCTATATTCTACATGTATGAGTGTGGGATGGATGGTGCATGATTGGCTATATTCTGCATGTATGAGTGTGGGATGGATGGTGCATGATTGGCTATATGCTACATGTATGAGTGTGGGATGGATGATGCATGATTGGCTTATTCTACATGTATGAGTGTGGGATGGATGGTGCATGATTGGCTATATGCTACATGTATGAGTGTGGGATGGATGGTGCATGATTGGCTATATGCTACATGTGGGAGTGTGAGATGTGAGGAAGCGGGTGGTGACAGATCAGACTGACCTCAGTGCCACTTAGGAGCCGGGCCTGCAACAAGTTTCCCGCCCACCCTCCCTTTGCTGCTTTGGGCCCGGGGGGTTGTCACAGCGAGGTGGGGTGTGTCCTTGCCAAATAAGGGATGGTTTGGTAGATTAGATGAAAAAGGGAGATAATGGCCTGGTCTCATCCTCCCCTGTCTCTTATGGTGAACCTGGAGGAGGTGCCAGGTTGGACGTGTCCCCACTGGGTTGTAATTCGACCAGTGGGGAGCATTATGGTTGGGCCCCACTGAGTTGGTGGGGAGCCCTGAAAAGGAAGATGTTTTTATTATGCCGAGGGGGGGAGGTGAGAGCCTTGGGGAAGTTAGATTGGCAAGGACGGTTTCTTTGGTTACTGTATGACTATATGCAAATGTTAATTTATGATATTTATTATTTCATTATATGTTAAAGGAGTCGTACAGTATTTGGTTGTGTTAATAAATGCTGTGGCCTGTTTTCTCTAAGTAGTTGTCTGTCGTTATTTGAAGGGGTAAGTTATGGTTTTATGGGGGATGAAGGGAATGTTATCCAATGCCCACTACGTACATACAAGTAAACTCACTCACAGGGTTTTGTAGTTTTCAATAGGAGAGGTTTAGTAAACTCATTCATTGGATTTTGGAGGTTCCATTGGGAGAGGTTTAGCAAACTCATTCATTGGATTTTGGAGGTTCCATTGGGAGAGGTTTAGTAAACTCATTCATTGGATTTTGGAGGTTCCATTAGAAGAGGTTTAGTAAAGTTATAGAAAGGGTTTTGGAGGTACCATTGGGAGAGGTTTAGTAAACTCATTCATTGGATTTTGGAGGTTCCATTAGAAGAGGTTTAGTAAAGTTATAGAAAGGGTTTTGGAGGCTCCATTGGGAGAGGTTTAGTAAACTCATTCATTGGATTTTGGAGGTTCCATTAGAAGAGGTTTAGTAAAGTTATAGGAAGGGTTTTGGAGGTACCATTCGGAGAGGTTTAGTAAACTCATTCATTGGATTTTGGAGGTTCCATTAGAAGAGGTTTAGTAAAGTTATAGAAAGGGTTTTGGAGGTACCATTGGGAGAGGTTTAGTAAACTCATTCACAGTGTTTTGGAGGTTCCATTGGGAGAGGTTTAGTAAAGTTATAGGAAGGGTTTTGGAGGTACCATTCGGAGAGGTTTAGTAAACTCATTCATTGGATTTTGGAGGTTCCATTAGAAGAGGTTTAGTAAAGTTATAGAAAGGGTTTTGGAGGTACCATTGGGAGAGGTTTAGTAAACTCATTCATAGGGTTTTGTACCATTCATTAGAAGAGGTTAAGTGCTATTTCTGGTTTACAGCAGATATTCCAATTTGAGATGTCGATGTTTAATCAGATGTGGCAAGAATGCAGCCATCCTTTGTGAACAGTTAATGAGCTATAAAAGCCTGTGAATGGCTAATGTACATTGTAAGCAATGGGCATTATCTTTGCAGAATGTTTGACATGTTTCCCAGTCAGCAATCCTTCAGTTTGCTATACATCTGATAATACAGCCATATATACTTCCCCAAATTAAATTCACATCAAATATTCACCAGCAGCGTGAAACACGGTGTTTCTGACCACTCTATACCTTATTTTACCTCTAACATCGTAATATTGAGTCTATTGAATTCACCCAGACCTCGTACAGTTGGACGGTGGTAAAAAGCAGGGGATCTGATTGTGTTTCTGATTGGGGTGAATTGGAAACATTGAAGTGAGGGTACTTCTTTAAGCATCACTCAGCCCTCCCCCCACCCCCGCACCCCTCCAGCATTTGGCATTAAATCAGGCTGGGTCTAACAGTGACTCCGTTCAGTCTTTAAAGTAATATAACGTGTAATCGTGGTGACCATCACCTGCTCCAGATGGACAAGATGCCAGTCTTGTCTTGTGGGGGTTAAAATTCAACCGGGGGATACTAAAATGCCCCTCCCAGGGGGATATCCCATATTACTGCAGGTATTAGGTGGGGGCTATTTAAAAATAAAGAATGGAGATTGAACATGTCTTTGCTCACCCCCCTAGTGTCATGATTACCAGGAGAACCCAAACATGCAGACAGATTACAGACACACAAATATTGCAATACCGGTCCTTAGAATGGCCGGCTATGCAAAAGAGATAGAGTAGTCAGAGTACAAGCCGAGGTCAAGGATAACAGAAAACAGAGTAAACGAGAAATGAGCCAAAGTCAGTAACCAGAGAATGAACCACAATACAAACGCACTATTGTGCTATGAAAGACCACAACAGGGCACTGAGGCAAGGAGGAGGTGAACTTATATACACACAGGGTGTGTCTGATTGGCTAACTTCCAATTAGTGTTAATCACTAACTTCCAATTGTAAACAGTGAGGTGATCACTGACCAGGTCTGACAAACATATAAGGAAGCGGCCTTTAAGCGTGCAGCATCAGAAACACTGTCAGGTTGGGGAGTGGCAGCAGAGACAGCTGCAAGCTGTGGACAGGAACTGGAAGACGCCACAAGCAGTGATGGGGTAAGCAAGGACGTTGCGAGCGGCGCAGGGGCCGGGGGCCTGACACCTAGTCCCGCACATATTGGTATGGTGGGGGGTGTAAAATAAATGGGGGGGTGCGGGTGGACATGCTATTGTATCCTGAATATTCACAGACTCAGCCCCTAGTTAGTTTAAATTCAGTACTCTGGGTCCTACACTGTGAATAGGGTTTGGATGTGAAAAACACAGATTGTAAAGCTAACACGTCCTGCCGATTGGTGCAGATTCAATCAGGCTGACTGAATTCTGAGCAAATTTGCTTTAGTAAATATGAGAATAGTTATTCCAGTTGGAATTTGGTCATTTTCATGACATTGTCTCCATCAGACGGAAATAACTCTGAGAGTCACTGTAATACAGGAATATCATAATGCAATAATTTCTAATTTCAGGGATTGTCACAAACGTCTCAATGAATCTCCCCATCGTATCCTTCTAAGTGTTTCAGCCGATGAACTAGGACATTACAGTGGCGGCAGGAGTTTCGGGCACATTGTCAGATCATTGTCTTCATATTCCTAAACCTCAAGGTACTGAGGAGGCAGGCAAAGCCAGCCGGATTAAGGAGCATGTGGGGGTGTGTAGGAAGGAGTGACAGGGTGGGGCCGGGTAAGGTGTATAAACAGGAGACATGTTAGGTGCTTCCCCCCTGCCATTTTATAATCGGTAGGAATTGTTCCCCTCCAACCCTCCCTTTAGTTAAGTTGTTAATGTATTAATTTATTTGTTTATGTTTCACTGTTTTCTCACTTGCCTTTGGTCACAGCAGGCGGGTGGTTGTCCTTGCCAATCGTGGGTTAGACTGGGGGAGTCCAACGGATGTGAAGGAAAGTGGGGCCGATCCATCCCCTTAGCCTCGGTGAAGTTAAAGTATGGTCTATTACAGACGTGTCTACTGAGCCAGAGGTTGGCTACTGGTTAGCATGGTGTTGGTGGAAGGCCAGGTTTTGTGGCCAGTGTTGTTTTTGACGGGAAGAGGGCAAGTGCCCAGGTGAGTTCCGATGTTACAAATAATCGATTGGCAAGGACGGGTATGTTGTTAACATTGTTAAGTAATATATATTGTTCAATGATGTTGTTAGATGTTCAAATTATTAAAGAATATATATATTTGATACAAAGTATTGGTAATAACGTTTGGTGAAATATTTAATAAAAGCTGTGGCCTATTTTTACCAACTATGACCCATTTTGCATTATTGGGATGTACATGGAGTATAGTAAGAGGACTCTACACAAGTGAATAATGTATTTCCTCTCTACTTATTTCAGAATAAGCACGGTGCAGAATCCACCATTAAATAGCACTTTTTATCATTGAATAGACGGTGTCCGTGGACAGTCATCGGCCATTGCTTTGGATTTTGACTTCGAGCTGGATCTACCTTCTTATCTACTACCTCGAGCTGTCAACGGATCTTACCTTACCCATACACTTTATATGCTTTGTCCTTATTACTGTCATTTTATTTTATTGTGTGTTTTGCAGATGTCTCATCATTTTTAAATTAAAATAATATATTTATCTGAATATTTAAGTATTTGATCTGATTGCTTGTTCTTTGTGGTGTAATCGGTGGATCAGTGGAATAATTTTATTTCCAACATTTCACAATATTATTGCAACTCCCTAATCATTCAGTACTCCACACATTTTGGCTGGAAATAGTGATATTTGGAATGAAAAGGACCTGTGGAACAAGCAGGTCTGTGCCCAGCGCAGTCATTTCTCTGGCTATTGGAATTTTTATCCTGGTTGCACATTGTGATATCAAGTATCACGGCGTTAGGAGAACTTGGGGATATCCTTTGGCTTCTAGTATCATTTCTATGCAGATGACACACAAACTACCTGTCCTCTCCTGATCTCCCTCCGCCCATCTTAACTTGTGTCTCTGACTGCCTCTCCGCGATTTCCAACTGGATGGCTGCTGACTTCCTTAAACTCAACCTGTCCAAAACAGAACTTCTGGTCTTTCCTCCCAAAAGTGTTCCTACTCCCGTGTCTGTCTCCCTCCAAGGCAATAGAGCCACCATCACCTTATCTTGCAGGTTCGCTGCCTAGGTGTTCTCTTTGACTCCGACCTCTCCTTTACCCTTCATGTCCAGTCGATCACCAAATCCTGCCGTTTCATCTCAAAAACAAAGCTTGCATCCGACCCTGTCTAACACCAGGCGTACCTAAGGTGCTGGTCCATGCCATTGTTCTTTCTTGCCCTAATACACAAGTATGCCCTGTCGGGCCTCTGCGCTCTGCCGAAGACCTACGTCTATCCTCTGTCCATACTCCCACATCTGATGCTCGCCTCCGAGACTTCTACAGGGCTGCACCTTTTCTGTGGAACTCCCTTACCTTCTCCATAAGACTTTCACCCATTTTCCACTCCTTCAAAAAAATCTTTGAAAACACACTTCTTCAGGAAAGCATATCATTTAATAAACTGTTAGCAGGTTTTCATTCCTCTCCTCCTCCCCCCCATTACTCCTCTCCTGCAACTGTGAAAAATAACCTACATTCTTAGTGAATACTTTTCTAGCTACCTTTTTCATACCCCTACTTATATACCCTTTGTGTCACTATACCCCACTCCCTCTAGCATGTAAACTCATTGAGCAGGGCCCTCAATCCCTCTGTTACTGTGTCACTATACCCCACTCCCTCTAACATGTAAACTCACTGAGCAGGCCCTCAATCCCTCTGTTACTGTGTCACTATACCCCACTCCCTCTAACATGTAAACTCACTGAGCAGGCCCTCAATCCCTCTGTTACCTCTAACATGTAAACTCACTGAGCAGGCCCTCAATCCCTCTGTTACTGTGTCACTATACCCCACTCCCTCTAACATGTAAGCTCACTGAGCAGGCCCTCAATCCCTCTGCTACTGTTACTATACCCCACTCCCTCTAACATGTAAACTCACTGAGCAGGGCCCTCAATCCCTCTGTTCCTGTGCAACCAGTTGTCTGGTTACAAATACGTGTCTGTTAGTCCACCCATTGTACAGCGCTACAGAATTTGCTGGCGCTATATAAATAATAAAATAATAATATAATGTCACAGTGAATGGAAACACTACCCGCTGGATCCTGCACCCCCCTTTAAGGACGAGGGCTGATGAAGACCCCATCTGCCATCTAAATATAGAGAAATCCACAGCTATACAATCTGTAGAATGAAACAGGTGCCAGTGTTCGCTTGTAAATGATATGGTAATAATGTGATCAGCTGCGATCTTCAGTATGGCATGTTTTCGACAACAAGTTCCATTACCCACAGCACAATAATATAATTCTTAATGGAATTCCTGTATCTCAAATCTCATTTTATTGTTATTATTTATACATGATCTGTTCTATGTATAATAGATATTTAAATTATGGTCACTCTGGGTATACTCACCCAGCAGATACCATTAAGGACACATCTGACAGAGCGCATGGTCTGTTGTGATATGTATATATAGGCATATGGTCTGTTGTGATATATATATTATATGTGACAAACGCTCCTTTCCACAAACGTTTGCCACAAACTCCTGGAGGAGCGTGGAAGCTGGCCTCCTGCCCACCAACTATGGTCCAGGTCTGGGACACCGTATGGGAGTTACCCTGCCCATGCACCATTAGCAGCTTTCCCTGGGTGCCCCTGGTTTGGCACTTTCCCTTCATGCAAATAGAACCAAACGCTGGCTCTCTGGCAGACGTTCGCATTGAACCAAACTCACAAATAGCCTTAGACTTAGCCGTGAATGTTATGGAACCATTTTCGGCATGAGTTGACCGTGCTGTTCCTCGACAACTTGGTTCATGGTTTTGAACCACTTTGAAATCTGCCAGGAGAGCACATTTTGGAGGGAAGGTGCCTGAGACTAAGAAGAAAAGACGCTACCTAAGAGTCAGACAGAGAACCCCATATTGCGGCCCCAGACGCTCCCAAAATTTAGGTGTCAAAAGCACAAAATGCCATGGAACTATTTTGGGCATAGGACCATGTGTGCAGGGCCGGCGCTACCTGTAAGGTGGACTAGGCAGCCGCCTAGGGCGCCCCTTCGGAAGGCTGCAGCTTTGCCCGGGCGGTGTGTCCATGAGGGCGGACTGCACCGCCCGGGTGCAGCCTGAGGAGAGGCTGACAGGAGGGAAGCGCTGAGCGCTCCCTCCTGTCACTCCCTCTATGTAGCGTGGCCGAGCCCAGTATAGTCCGCGGGTACAGGGAACACTCAGTGTTCACTTCCTGTTAGTCCGGCCGGGTACAGGAAACAAAAGCTCCCTGTACCCGCGGACTATACTGGGCTCGGATTACCGAAGTTGACCGACCGCTAGCACTGATTTCATGGAACTGTTTTGGGCATAGGACCATGTGCGCAGTCCCTCAAATAATTGGCATCCATGGAAAACCCGAACCTCTAAACTGATCTGGGTGGTTTTTGGATATGTTGGTCACCAAGATTAGGGCTATCAGGGGATGTGACTTTTATGGAGGGTTTGTGTATTTTAAGTGTATTTTCTGGTGTTTTATAAATTGTAATATTTTCTGTCCCTGGGAGATAATTAACTTATAAGTGTTTGCTCATGAAATTATCTCTCAGGCACAGAGGATCCTGGGAGGAATTTCTCTGTAATGTTGAATTGGAAACCCCTTGCAAGGGCTATTGTATAAAAGCAGGCCATCTGGCCAGATTAAAGCATTCCAGTTTGTACTCCCAGAACTATTTGTCGTCTGGTTACTGGGAGGGGAAAGGGCAAATCACTCCTCCAGCTTGTTCCTGTGTGGAGGATTCAACGGGGAAAGTCCTTGTAAGGATTAGAGCTCCCAGGACTGAATGTTGTCCAGTGCCTCGGAGTGGATAGAGCGAGTTCCCCATTCGGCTCTAGGACGGAGTGGCCCCAAGTCAAGTAACGGCAACTGGGGACAGGAGTGCTGAGGTTTTTCCCCTGTTCCAGCTAGGAAGCGGTCCTTGGCAGAGGTACCCAGCTGGAGTACAGGAAGCTCCGTGACACCTTCCCACTGCCAAATCCTCCTACCCAGTACATCCTGCCACATACCTCCAAACTACCACATCCTCCTACCTAGTACATCCCACCATCACCACACCTCATGCCTCTGCCACATACTTCTACCTAGTTCATCCTGCCAAATCCTTCCCAACTAACACATCCTTCTACCCACTACATCCCGCCACATGCCTCCCCACTACCATATCCTTCTACATAGTACATCCCATCACATCCCTTCCCACTGCCACATCGCTTTGCCTAGTACAAATCACCACATCTCTCCCCACTTCCACATTCTCCAACCTAGTACATCCCGCCACATCCAACTACCTTGTACATGCCGCCATATCCCTCACAGTGCCACATCTTCTAACTAGTACATCCTGCCACATCCCTCTTCACTAACATATCCTCCTACCCAGTACATCCCACCACATCCCTCCCCACTGGCACATCCTCCTACCTAGTACATCCTGCCACATCCCTCCCCACTACCACATCCTTCTACATAGTACCATCCCATCACATCCCTCCCCACTGCCTCATCCTCCTACCCAGTACATCTCGCCATACCCCTCCCAACTACCACATCCTCCTCCTAGTAAATCCCACTATCACCATATCCCTTCCCACTGCCACATCCTTTTGGCTAGTACAAACCGCCACATCCTCCCCACTTCCACATTC